TCAATATTCGTGTTAATAAAAAAATTATTAATTCGACAACAACTCATATAATACTATTTAAAAAATTATGAAAAAATATAAAATTATTATTTTTCGTCTACAATACTCGTTAAATACTTATTTTTCTATCTACAATACTCATTAATCGTGTTATTCGTCTCAAACTTTAATTTGATCCATTTATTACTCATGTCAACTAATCGTGTTACTTTCGAGTTTTGTGTCAAGTCAGATTCATGTCGAGTTCATATTAATGGATAAAATTGCCCCGTGGCTCTGCCACTAGTGGCGAGTGGAGCTGAGTTGGGTGAATAAAGGTTGGCAGGAATAGATTACGAGCCGAGGCAATTGTGTCATATCGTATTCGTGTTGTGTATGAGTTCATGTCGAATACTAATTAGTTATAATTTAACTAATTTAATTAATTATGTCGTGTCAACTTGATTTATTTATTTTGTGTCATGTTTGTGTTGACTCATATAACCTAATATCATGAATAAAATATTTAACGCTAAGATTTAAGTCTAAGATTCTATTATCACTTAATTGAATCTGTGCTCGTACTTTATCAATAAACTAAAAATTAACTAAATAAACATAACAATAAAAAAAATTACTAAAAATATCTTTTTGGATTAAATTACATTCACCTCCCCTGAGCTTTGGTCAAATAACTACCTGACCCCCTCTTGTTTGGGAAATAACACTGCACTCCCTTGTCAGTAACGTTCGTCCCATTTTAATGACATATTTTGTTAAATGACTATAATAGCCTTTAGTCCCTTTTTATTTTTTATTTTTTGTAAAAATTCATCTTCTCCATTCATTTTATTGCCATTCATCTTCTCTCTTCGTTTTGTCGTCCAACCTCCATGAGAACTACCACCACCAACCACTAGCTTACCACTCACCACCATCGCCCAACCTACTTCTCGGCCACCACCATCACCACAGGTGCACAAACAAAATTGCACAACATCAAACCCATTTCACAGCATGTGTATATGTACATAAGGGAAGGGAAAGGGGGAAGCTACCTGCACATCAACTCGAAGAAATCTTCCCAATTTACTAACATAGCTATTTCTCAATTAAAATTCCACACAAAATTAGTCAAATTCAATTAAGTGGAAGAGGGGTCGTCGCCTTCACGTTTGATGTACTAGATGAAGTTGCAGAGGTGGAGTATTCGTCTTCGTCTTTTGCCTTCGTTGTCAACCTCGCCATCTTCATCCATTGTGGTGATGGATCCAAGGTGCGTGGTGGCATGGTGGTTAGTTCTGATCATCGTCGTTGAACAAATCTCCAACCAGCTCCACAAAAATTACTGACAAACCCTTGTCACCTAACACTACCATCCACCATCAACATTATCGTCGTGAGCCCCAATTGAAACAGTGGATCTGCCACCCAACACCCCCAATCGTAACAGTCATTTGGGTTGATTGATATTATACTGGACTTGTTTGGCAACAAGTTTAAATGTATGTGGTATCTAGAAGATTAGAATTGGTATTTTAAAATTATAGATTGCTTATATCACCAAACTGTTAACAAATTCTTGATGGGAGACTCATAGTAGGGAGAGTAGGTTACTGACAACTAAAGGAGGAGGGAGCGCGGTGTTACTTCTCAAACAAGAGGGGGCTTAGTTGTTATTTGATCAAATCTTAGGGGAGGTGCATGTAATTTACCCTATCTTTTTTGTCCAATAATTATGTCAATATTTGATAAAAAATAACATATAAGTGGCATTTTATTCTATCAGTACTAGTTAAACGTGTTAATTTCATATTTAACATTAACTCAACTCATGTAAACCCCCACATTCTTTTCTTAATGTAGCAACGTAATTATTTTTAAAATGCTAATATATGTGATGATGTATGCATAAACTATGTGGATTGTAAGAGTAGAAATAAAAATGTTAGGCAAGGTAATAGAGTATGTATTGGAAATTAGGAAGTATTTTGTAGTTCAAACACATTTTAGATAAAATTTGGGTAGAAAGGATTTTGGACACTGCTTAATATTTAGACCATAAATTTTTACCCTAATGTCCGTTTGAGCTGAAAATTTCACAGTAGATATTAGACTTTCAGGGCTACAAAAGTGTATTTCACGAAAATTTTTCAAATCGACCTCTAAACAGGACAAAACTTCACTGAAAGTTTCAGTAGAAACAGGAAGTCCGTTCGAACAACCTATGTTCGAACGTGAAAGTACGTTCAAACGTGAAAGTATGTTCGAACGACACTGCGTTCCAGTACTTTTGTCTGATGGAAAAAAAAAAGTACTAGGAGCAAATGACGTTCGAACGCCAAAATGACGTTCGAACGTGAGTTACGAAATCTGGGTTTCAGAATCGCACACAAGAGACCATTTCTTCCACTATAAATACTTAAGGACATCTTTATTAGCTCCATTTCAACATTTATAACCCTAGAGAGGCTTAGAGAGGAAGAAATAAGGGGAAAAACACAAGATCAAGAGGAATTTGCACATTGAAGAGGATCAAAACTTCTAATTTTTCAAGAACACCAAGGAAGAAAAAACGTAGGGGTTTCTTCCCACTATTGTCCATTGAGGCTAGGGTTTATATCTATGTATGTTTTGTTTCAAAATCTTAGATATATGTTATGATATCCTTGTTTCTTGATGATCTTGCAAACCTTCTCATGTCTTGAGTGAAGTTATGGGTTGAAAGCCACAAAAATCCTTGTTTTGATATCAAAACCTAGTTTTTCAAGAAGTGTGGATTTTCTCTTGATATTCCTTTGTCTTGATTCAAAAAAAAAACTCTAGTGCTTTGTATTGAACAATAAAATGATATTGTTGATGATCTCTTGCATATTTTTCTTAAATTATTTTATTGGAATAGTACATGTGAAATTTGGGGATTTTTGGATTTACTTGGGATTGGAGAAATTGGTTAGTATTGTATCTCTTGTGTGGATGTTTGAATGAACATGGCTGGCCGTTGACTGGGTATCGTAGAATAGGTAGATGCGTTTCTTATTTCGTGCGGGTTTGAATTTTTTCTACCACTTGTAGTGGGGTTGGTGTCTTGCGACAACCAAATTACTATTCGCTCACGTGGTACCGAGACTGAGAATTAGTATACTATTCCTGAGTTGGATTCGAAACTACTAATGCATTGGTATACGTCCTTCCTAAAGTTGAATATCCTTGCGAGGATTGGGTGTGTGTGTGGGCCAGGATATTCTCGATGTATTTATTCATGCGATGTCATACATCATACCTGAGAGATACAAGTTGTGGTTTGATATACATTGTGGACTATTATTTATTGTGCAAATGGTTGGTTATGGTTTATTGTGGAAATGAGTTTATGGTAGAATTGGTTTGTTGTGGCATTGGTTATTGTGGAAATGGTATCTTGTTGAAAATTGTTATTTTTGGGAATTGGTTTTACTTTTTCATTTAATTATTGCTATTGTGTAAACTTGAGATCCATTGAAATATCTCTGTTTTCTTTCAAAAGCTATATATTGTATTTGTAAAATGAGACCGATCATTTTATATGTTTTTGAAACCTTGTTCGAGTTTGGGAGGATTTTCCTACAGAGCTTAGTGCTCACTCCCTACAGACAATATCTTTTTCAGATTATGGTCTAGAGGAGGAGCTCGGAGTTGATGAGCTGATACATTGGAAAGCTCCAATAGATGAGAACGTGGATCTCGAGGTGGACGTTTAGAGTTATATTCTCTTATGTTCTAGATTATGAAATTCATTTTGAGACAATGTGAAGTCTAATGTTTTTGTTATTTTGCTGATAATAGTTGATTTTTGGGATGTAATTATCATAGTTTAGCATATTCTTTTGAATGATGTTGTATATATTGTGGATGATGAATGAAAATATCTTTAGTTATGAAGTTTATTTAGTTGCTCTCATCATGTGAATAGTTTTAGATAGTAATGTCGTCCAAAGGGGATTTTGGGGCGTTACAACTCAATTATTATTCGTATTAATGAATCGTGTCATTTACGAATTTGTGTTAAGAAATGATCAACTTTAACCTATTAATTTTGTGTCGTGTTTTTGTAATGTGTCATAAATTTTCACACCTAAATTGAGGGTTGCAAATACCATACAAGTTACAAGTTATTGCATGTAGAAAAACTTTGGATGTTGGGTGCTGGCTTGGCCATCCAATATTAAATGGAATACCACATTCACTTTGAAATGAATTCTTGGGTTATCCTTCCTTCTATGTCCACTAAATGTGGTGCCGACAATGAAAATTATTAGGGTAAATGGCAGTTTGTACTATGAAAGATTAAAAAATTCTTAATTTACACTTTTAAAAATTAATTATTTTAAATTGCACCTTTAATTAAATTAATGGATAGCAATATGACCCCAACCATAACATCTGTTGCGATTTTTATCAAATTGACAGACACGTGAGACGGGTGAAAACGGAAAATGTCATAATCTAACAAAAGTCATCAAGTGCATTTCACGTGACTATAAATTTGACAAAAATCGCAATCCTAGCCATAAACGTCCATGGCGATTTTTATTAGATTGACAAACACGTGAGATGCACATGAAAAAGTCATCACGTGCTTCTAACGTGACTGACAATTTGATGAAAATTACAACGAACGTTATAATTAGGGTTACATTGCTACTACTTAATTTAATTGAGGATGCAATTTGAAATAATTGATCTTTGAAGGTGCAAATTAATTTTTTAAAATCTTTCGGGGTGTAAAATGCTATTTTCCCAAATTATTAACAATGTAAGAACCAATAGAGTGGATTATTATTCCTTTTGATTATTGGTAAGTCAAAATATATGAAGACACTGCTGGCCTAAATACAATGACTTTCCTTGCCTACCACATTATATATACAATCCCACCCACCCTCTCTCTCAATGGAGGAACTACTTCCATCTTAGTTCTCTCTCAATCTTCACCCTCTCCCAACCTCTCTCCCAATTCAGAAAAAAAAATGTTGGGAAAGATGGGTTCAGTGAAGAAACTAGCCAAGAAGGTGAAGTTCGACCGCGAGTCATCGCAATATGAGTGTTTGCCTCAGGAGAGAGAAATGCGATCTCCTTCCGCAGCCCCAATTGGGTTTTTGGCAATCTATGTTGGAGAGGAGAGACGAGGATTCGTGGTGCCAACAAGATACCTCGCTCATCCTCTATTCAAAATAATGTTAGAGAAGGCCTACGACGAGTTCGGGTTTAAGCAAAGTGATGAGCTAGTGGTTCCATTTAGTGTTACTACTTTCCAAGAGGTGGTAAATGCTGTGGAGTGCTGCAATGGAAGGTTTGATTTTGGAAATTTGGTTGATGAGTTTATTTAGGTAACAAAGATAAATGGCAGTATATTTTGATCACTCCTATGTGTTTTGGGGGTAATGATCTCATTGTGTTATGGAGTATTAGTGATGGGGGATCGTATAGAAATTGGAAAGATATTTTAGATTAATCATGAGAGTAATTTGAATACTTTTAGTATTTATCTTTTAAGTAATTTTTTTAAGGGTTTATTTGTCATTATTTATTTATTTTAGAATTTTAGTTTCCCAATATAAAGGGATGCATGTAAGGATTTTTATTTAAATTAGATTTTGATTATTATTGATTACTAAAATTGAATCCTGATATTACTTATTCCTCAAATTCTCTCTCTTTCCTCATCCTCTTCTTTTTCTTGTCTTATCTCTAATTCTTCTCTACTACGGTCATCATTGTTCTATTCATATGATCTACAAAAATCACATCATCACTGTGCATCGCGTGCACTGTTCATCGAAAAAAGTATTATTCATCAAAAAATATTGTTCATCACCGTAAATAGTAAAAATCCAAAAAAAAAAAAAAATAGAACTGTCATGCAATCTTAAAAATTACAGCAACAACCTACCTGTTTCAAAAATTATAGAAACACCCCCAAAAAATTTTAGAAATTATAGAACCACCGCCAAAAGTTTCAAAAATTATAGAATCCCCCCAGAAGTTCCAGAATTATAGAACCATCATCAACAGATCCATAAAATTATAGAATTATCCCCAAAAATTTTAAAAATTACAAATTATCCCCAAAAAATTTTAGAATTTCCTCACGACAAAAGCTTGATTATGATATGCATACTCCTATAGAATTTGAAACTAATATTTTTATTTATTGGGAAATTAAAAAATTTGCAAAAGGTCCAAACATATGTTCTTCTATTTGAGTTTTTTTTTTTTTCACTTCTTGAAATTGTTAATTGCAATTTTTGAATTTTTTTGGGGTTCATTTCCTTCTTTCAAGAGTCACTCACGAGTTCCTCTAATACACATGTTTCAAGAGTTTCTTGTCGAGGTCATCATCATAGAAAGTCTAGGGATGTTTACATGGAGTCTCATATGACCAAACTAGTCAAAGATCCTTCTATATTTAGTGTCACTTTAGATCTTTTTGAATATTTGGATTGGTTAGCTAATTTAGAAGAATATTTTGATTAGCATGGCATGTCGGATTCCCATTGCGTTCGTTTTGCTAAATTGATGTTGGATGGTTCCGCCAAACGGTATTAGCAAGCAATTCAAAGAAGCCTAGACAGTTTAGGAGAATCACCTATCACTTGGGTTGAAATGAGATATAAATTGAAAGAAAAGTATTTGCTACTTCTTACACAAATCAATTTTATGACCAATGGCTCAATCTTAGACAACATTCTTCTAGTGTCTCTGATTACTTTGCTCAGTTCGATTATCTTATGTACTTGTGTGACATTGTTGAAGAACCTTGAACAATTGATCAGTTTATTCTTGCGTTGAGACCAAACATTAGTGGGGAGGTCAAGCCATCCATTTTCGATACATTAGTTGCGGTCTATTAATATGTTATAAAGATTGAGAGATTTCATAAGAAATCCAACTATAACTTGATGGGTTCTCAATCAGTTAAACAACGTGACAGGACACCTTTCAATTTTAATTCCACCACATATGAGTATTATGATTACTTGAATGATGTCCATGTTGTTTCTACATGTTTTCCTAATTCTAGGGTGACCCGGGATTTTTGATAACACATTCTCATATACAAAAAAAGATGTTACTCATGTCGATTACCAATCCCCTTGTCTAATTTCATCAGATCAGAGTTCACCTCCTTCATACCAACAAAAGTCAACACCTGAAGAAAGTGAGTTTGAGTCTTTGCCGGAGTCAAACGTTGAGTCACCACTTGTAATGGAACTTGCTAAAAAGTCTGTCGAGTCCACACTTGTGAAAGATGTCGAGCATATTGAGTTACCTATTTCAGAATCTTTTGGTGAATGATTTGGGTCTCCTATTTCTAGTCAATCTACCTTTGTTCCCAAGTCTTTTCCTCTGAAATAGTTGACTTTATTCCTACTATCAAGATTTCACTTGAATTGGTACTTAATTATTTTCACCACTAAGGTGTTATTGTTACTCCTTTGTCATCAATGTCTTGTCCCATTGAATACTTTTTATTGAAACCTAATGAGAATTGTTTTACTATTCTCGAGTTTGGATCTAATGCTTATTTGGTTAATTTTTTATTGAATGTTAGTATTAGTCCATATTTTTATTTGGAGGACATGCTACTTAATCAAGGTACTCCAATCCCTCCTATTTTATTAGCAGGTGTTCATACAAATAGAAATTATTGCATTTATCCTAATCGATGGAAAGAAGTTAATGATTTTTTCATTTTAGATGAGGCATTATGTCATCTTCATCTAACTCTTTTAAAATACTTCTACTTTTAAGACTCTCCGAAGGAAAATTTTTCTCAACCGGAGGATAATGATGGAGATCGTATAGGAATTGAATAGATATTTTAAATTAATCCTGAGAATAATTTAGATAATTTTAGTATTTATCTTTTAAGTAATTTCTTTTAACTTTTGAAGGTTTATTTGTTCTTATTTATTTATTTATTTTAAGATTTTAGTTTCCCTCTATAAAAGGATGCTTGTAATGATTTTATTTAGATTAAATTTTGATTATTATTGATTACTAATATTGAATCCTAATATTACTTCTTCCTCAAATTCTCTCTTTTCTCATCCCCTTCTTCTTCCCTACCATAATCTATATCAATTAGTGCCATGAGTTCATGTACTGGAACATTAAATGTATACACTTCAATGCAGATTTTGATCAGTTTGGAACAATTGATCATATAGAGAGAGAGAAACAGATGTTGAAACCAACCTACAGTGTCATCACTAGAATCTCATTAAGAAAAACTAGCTGTCACTCTCCACATAGTTACTGCCATTTACAAGAATTCTCTTCATGTCATCAATCAGCTCTAGCATCTGTTCCCTCGAATGTAGTGGTGATGGATATACACATGCACAATCTAATTCCCCATCTCGTATCGTGTCAAATATAGCGATTGATGGGCCTACATTATGAACAGAAGCACACCCTATGTAGTCCTCCAATCCAATCTCTTGATGCAATTCATCGGAATGGTCAATCACTGGGTCTTCAAACACCGACATGAGTGAAGTTCTTAATGATGACGACCGTGTTAATCCAGGGTTATCAATGGCCTTGACCATGAGAAAGTTAAGGTCATTCATGTCCCAGAAATGCTTCTGATTATTTTTAGCATTTGCAAATGACATGTAGGTTCTCTTTGCCAGCTCCCAAAGGTTTTCCCCTTCTTCTATGTCATGTGTATTCACGATAGCAGAATGGTAAAACCCTGCATCATTTAGGGACATCATGTTGAGTACATCAATTCTGTGTGACAACAAATATTTACAAAGTTTGAAATTGAGAGGAGTCAATAAGGGAAGAAGAAGAAGAACAAATCTCCAAATTTTAGACGATCTATTTCATAGGACCTCATGCCATAGATATAACTCCCACACCAACTCACAGTATAAACACATGCATATTATTATTGAGTGAAACAAACTCTAATTAGGAAACTGACAAGCAATCTACTTAGTAAAACTAATTAATTAATAATGTGCTATTTGAGATGTGGAACATTTGAAGACTTACCAAAATTGCGGCAACTAAGAACAGGATGAAGCATGGAACGACAATCAGTGAGTGTTACGACTGCATACTTCTGCCATTGGTCAGGAAGACAATTACTGGAATGAGCTGCAATCAATCCGGCAGCTGCCAAGAGCCCGCATAACTTGATCCCCCTGGTTTGCAGCCCTGTAAAATTTACACCAATCTAAGACTCTCAACAATAGAAGATAATGGCAATTAAAGCATCAAATCACAATCCCCACTAACTAGTTAATTTATAATTCTCAATCTTCCAGACATTATTATATACACCTATCTATGTATGCATGCATTGTACATATGTACATAATGCTTGACAAACCTGCATTTTATCTCCTTGTGATTTGGTCAAGTTTCACCTCAGATTTGCTCTTCCCATGCTCAGAAAATATGTAGTTGATTTCGTTTGAGCTATGGCTGAAGTACAACTATCAGTCTTTCAATTAAAACTAAAAGCAAACATCTAACATCAACTGCTTGGCTAAATATAATGAGTCAAAATGACCGGATATCTTCTTGAAAATTGATAGTTTATTTTCTTTTTGGAGGTAAAAAATAGTTTTTCATCAACTTTTTCAAGAGACTATATTCATGCAGTGAGAGATTGTGCAAGTTGAGTAGCAACTAAGAAAAATTCTTTTGTATTTTCAGGCTCCTCTCTCACCCTTGTGAGTTGTGACTAAATGACTAGTTCATCAACACAAGGACTTAAATGCATATTTCCATATTTTAAATACAACTCCGTCAAATCACAGAGTTAGAATAATATGATCTCTCGAAATTTGTTAATATTGAAGACAACTCAATCCCTCCCTCCCACCCAAAATAGAAGATTAAGAAAGATCAAACAGAAAACATAGTGAAACCTGTATGATTTACCCGGAAATAATTCATTGTGATCTTATGTCTATGGTCCATATGTGTACTGGTCCCATCCCATGGAATTTTGCTTGGGTGCATCTAATTGTGACGGAAAAGACAAAGCAAACTAAGGAAGCTTATCCCTACATGCATATAAAAGGTCAATGAATACTCGAGTCAGGACAAACAGTGACAATAAGAGATTACTTCTCTGCCAAGTGCCAACTAAAGGTGGGTCAACTTCATAATTTTGTTTTCTTTCCCATGTCTCTAAGTTTTGGATTTTAAACTACTTGCTATCACTGTTATACCAGAAAGCTAATGAGATGAATTCCAACTTCTCTAATGTCATATAACTTCAAATTAAACCACTAGGTAGAACCATAGAAGTACGATTTGAATTGGAGGTAGTTACTATTTGAATGGTGCAGCAAGGGAAGATGCTCCATAGCATCGATGAAGGTTAAAATCCATTATACAACTGAATTTTCCCAAAGTTTCAATTATTGATTACCCATTAATGAAATTGAAGAAGATCTAGAAATATAGTCACCTTACCAATGAGGCAAACAGGAACAAATTCACTCTAGGAAACAGATAACAGTTAGGCAATCAACACAAAAATTTCATGGTTTTGACAAGTATTACCTATAAAATGTCTTAGAAAATTGGTTTGAACAAGTTTGTAATTGACAGTAGCATTTCTAACTTGTGACCAGATAGAATTCTCGATGGGTCATGTTAGGTTTGTATATAATAGGATTAGTGTCGTCTATAACCAGATTCATATCATTACTTCTTTTTTTTATAATGTTGACTGAGATCAACCCCATTGTGATCCATATCAGGTAATTTCACGTCGATTTCATATGAGTTAAACATTGTGTCAAGAATTGTTGGTGTAATGACTTGGTTGAAGAAATTTACCAAGGACAAAGAAATCCCACTTACCAAAAGAATTCGATCAGTATCATCCGAATTCAGCTGTAGCTTCACTACTTGTGATGATCTGGGCGTCAATGCCCTTGAAATTCAAGTTTGCCAACCTCAAAGAATTCAAAGAGTACCCAAGCATGTCCACTCCGCGAGCCCAAAATGGTTTATTAGCTTTCCCAGGAGGAATATAATCCTCAATTCCCAAACCAACCTCCATTTCCTCCTCTACTTCCCTTTGTAACTCCAACTCTTCCTTCTTTCCCTCACCTATCAGACTCAACAACTCCCTCAGCAATGAAACTGCCGAGGTCCAGTCACACGCCGACGTTTGAAGCCGGCGCATCACAGCCCATCTGTCATCACTTAGAGTGTACACACTCGCAAAGAACACGTCAATTTGAGAGTCCAACGAATCGTTGTTAGCGCACCAGGTGTTTGTATTAATTTCACGCTCAAGAATAAGGTGGAAGTGAGACATGGAGGGGTTGTTAGGATTGCTTAGTCCTTGTAGGATGTCAGATGTTGATAGAAGATCGAAGAGTTGGATCTGGAGTGAGGTGTGGAGGGTGTGGTGTAGGAGAATGAGTTGGTAGTGCTGTTGTGGCGGAGTTTGGACTTTAGGATTGGGTGGGACTTCTGGAGTTGGTGAATGGCGTTTTGGAGGAGTGATAAATCAATTGGTTTTGAGATGAGGAAGGCGAAGACAGTTATGCCCGTGCCGCCGGCGACGGCTTTGCACCAACTGTATTCGGTCAGTCCCACCGGTCGGCACTTGGGCTCCGACATGAGTGTCGTAATGCGAGAGAGAGGATTGAAGTGACGTTGGAAATGATGGTTGGATAATAAATAGGGTTAATCTCATTTTGCACCCCGAAAGATTGTTCGAATCTCAATTTATACCTTTAAATATCAAAAATCTCAATTTCTACCCTCAAAGATAGAAATTTGTATCAATGTGCACCCTCAAAGATCAAACATCTCAATTTCCACCCTCAAAGATAAAAATTTATATTAATGTGTACCCTAAAGATAAAAAAATCTCAATTTACACCCTCAAAGATAGAAATTTGTATCAATGTGCACCTAAAATTAAATTGATAAATTATACCTAAATCCCCTCATATTTGTCAGTTAATCATTTAGACCTCTTCACATTTAGAATATTACTCCTACATCTTATGACATTTGTGCACGTATAACACGTAACTCATTTTCATTGATATCTATTAATATAACCGTTAAAAAATATAATTTTATCCTAATAAAAAATTATAATTTCATATTACCCTTTATTTTATAGGTTCAATATACTATAAAGTTCAAAATCTAGTTTACCATTTGAATGTCTAATAAAATATAAATATTTATATAATATTTTACATATTACATTTTATATAAATATCTACATTTTATTAGACATTCAAATGGTAAGCTTGATTTTCAACTTTAAAGTATATCAAATCTACAAAATAAAAGTTAATATAAAATTATAATTTTATATTAGGATAAAATCATATTTTTTAACGATTATATTAATATAAATCAACAAAAAGTGGTTATGTGTTACACATGCATAAACGTCATGAGATGTAAGGGTAATATTCTAAATATGAAGGAGTTCAAATGATTAAGTGACAAACATGAGGGGATCAAGGTATAATTTATTAATTTAATTTTAGGTGCACATTGATACAAATTTCTATCTTTGAAGGTGCAAATTGAGATTTTTTATCTTTAGGGATGCACATTGATACAAATTTCTATCTTTGAGGGTGTAAATTGAGATTTTTGATCTTTGAGGGTGTAAATTGAGATTCGAACAATCTTTCGAGGTGCAAAATGAGATTAACCCTAATAAATATGAACAATTTGAAATGAACAGAAGAATTTTGGGTAAATTTCAGTGACGCCCCTAAATTTGTCATATTTCAATGATACCTCCTCTAATTTCTAAAATATCACACCAAACCCCTATAGTTTATATACACATTTGACAAACTACCTCTAATGTGAGATGGTGATTTATTCTCTTGTGAATTACCAAATTTACCCTTGGACATATAAAATAAGTTTAAAATAATAGCAAAAATTCTTTTAATATTAATTTAATTAAATTAAATGTTAATTGGATTAAATAGAATGTTTCCTGTCAGAAAATGAATCAAACAAAATGTTAATTTGGTGTTGATTTTAAAAAATAATATTAATTTGATTAAAAAAATATTAAATTCAAAAAATTGAATGTTAATTTTATAAAATTGAATGACCATTTCATAAATTGGAAGTTAAATTGATAAAATTAAATACTAATTTAGAGTTAATTTGATGAAATTGAATATCAATTTCATGTTAATTTGGTAAAACTTTGTATTAATTCGATAAAATTTAATGTTAATTTGATAAAATTGATAGTTAATTTGTTGTTAATTGGATCAAATTGAATATTAATTTGGTAGTTAATTTGATAAATTTTAATGTGGTTTTGATAAAATTGAATGTTAATTTGGTGTTAATTTCATGAAATTGAATATAATTTTGGTGTTAGGTTAATAAAATTGAATGCTAATTCGATGAATGTGAATGTTAATTTGATAAAATTTAATATTAATTTAGTACTAATTAAATTAAATTAAATATTAATTTTGTAATTAATTTAATTTGGTGTACTCAAACCCCACAACATCATTCCACTTGACACCAACGTCTAATATGGATGATTGAATGTGTGCAGCTTTGTGCAAAGAATTCAACCATAGCCAATACTAAAAATCAAAATTCAGCATTGCTCGGAAAATACAGTTCAAATAGTTAACACTTATATGATTAAGTAATAAAGACCATCTGAATTTTCTACAAATTGAGCAATTTAGGCAATGTTTAAATTATATGTGTATACATCACAACAAACCGACAAAGCAAAAAGTAATCCAAACAGGTTTTTGATTGGGTAAATCCACTGCCTAAGTTCCAAAAAATAAAAGTCGACTTTCTAATAAATGAGATGAAGGGCCAAACAAACAACATGCTTGATTTCTCTGTGTACCAATGTAAAGATCCACTATCCATGTAAAAACCTATATATTATTTACTTTTGAGATTGTTGTGTAGAGATATAAAACACAGAAATATAGAAACATAATCGTGGACACATTGTGTGTGGAGTTTTTGGATCATCATAGGTTGGATTCTTAGTCTTGAAAGCTACTATTTCCACTATTTAGCATTTTCCTCACTGTTTTGTTGAGAAGCACTGTCGAGTGACATTTGCCACCATTCTCCTGCACAGAAAATTATCAAATTGCTCAGTATTTGCGAGAGAGAGAGAGAGAGAGAGAGAGAGAGATGTATTTGTAGGTAATATTCCAAGTGGAGAATTATGGTGGTTGGTATTCTGGATCCTTAAAATTGGATCCAAAAAAAAGCAGTAGATTACTAACCCAGGCAATCCACTAGCGACCTGATCAGGTGCCTAGTGGGTACCTCCTCCTTTAAGTGCAAGGGCTTATATGCGAGGGGGGAAGACGACTCTCTTCCGATGTGGGATTGCCTTAGGAAAGGGTCCTATTGGCGAAGAGAGGTAAAGGCTACTGCCGAACGCGCGCAGGTCAGCTGAAATCCTTCTGTGGGGGGAGGACATCCCGAACGCGCGGATAAATCCCCTACAGTAGCTAAAAAAAAATCCCCATTAGTGTATTGGTAGAGTTATTTTCAACTAAAACCAACAAATTAAACATGTGTAAACCAATACAACTTAATCACCACAAATAAATACAGTAGAGAAAAAAAGATAAAAAATAAAGCAAGAATGGATTCTTACATCTAAGAAATAGCATGTACGGGTACTTGTCTTGATGTACAGCCCAAGTGTTCTCATCGTCGCTGGTATGATCAATCGAATGAAAACTGCCTTGAGTGAGTGAGAAGAAGCTTATCATACGGTATTTTCTATATCATAATTCATCTGTAACAACATTAATACAAAAAATTCCAAATAAATATGTGATTAAACAAATCAATAAGAAATTTTTAGAGATAATAAATAATCAACTTACATTGCCAAAAACAGTGACGCCATTCATTTTTTTGTGGTTGCGAGGTTACAATGGTGGTGGCTACATGGTAAATTTTATAAACAAAATATAATTAATACCAATTTCAATAAAATTTCATTTACTATAAAAAAAGTAAACTAAAATTAACCTACAAATTTTATAAAATAAATATTGAATAATCAACAACTTAACATCCCAATTCATGCGAGTAACAACACCCTAACACACACACGCTTTTGTGAAATTCAGGACGTGGCAACACTAATGTATTGGCATTCACCTGTAAATAAAGAAAACGAAACAAACAAAATCTTCCATCAACATAATTAATATTGAATATGGACCTGAGAACTATGCTCATTCACCAAGTTATAGCAACTCAACTGGTTAGAACTAGGGCTGTCAATCAAACTGAGCTACTTGAGCTTGGCTTGAGTTCGGCTCGAGTTCGACTTGTTCAAGCTCGATTCGTTTTTTAAATGAGCCCGAACTTGAACAAATTTTTAGACTCGTTTAAAAATCAAACCCTACAAGCTCGGTTCAAACTCGATAGACTTGACTCGTTTATGTGTAAATACTTGAGCTCGACTTGTTTTTGGCTCGTTCAAGCTCGATTCATTTCCTAAACGAGCCGAACTTGAACAATTTTTTAAGTTCGATTAAGAAACAAACTTTCAAGTTTGGCTCAAACTTAGTTCGGGCTCATTCAACTAACAGCTGTAGTTAGAACTGAACGAAAGCGACAAAGAGTCGACAATAAATTAGGACCAAAAAAACATAAAACATACTATAGATTCTATGGCCATGGGCGGTTTTTTTTTTGTTGTGTGCCTATGGCTCATGCCAATTTTTTGAGAGCACTAAGCAAATCAATAAAATTGTTTCTCTATGTGTGTATGTGTGTGGACGGAGAGAGGGGTGGACGCAATTATCAAACCCTCATATACAAACCAACTTACTAATAACCAAATCCTTACAAAGTTTGAACTGCAAACTCATAAAATTCATACAAGATTGAAGCTTGAAACTATCTAAACCTAATTAGAACGCACTACAACACCCTAAAAAGTTTACTCAAAAGTCATCCAAATGGACCTGTAAACGTACACCATTAGAAGAAAAGAATCCTCACTAGTCACCATTCCTATGGCTAAGTTTTGAATGACAAAATAACACATACAAATCACCTTTCTTGGTAGTCGAGGGGCCAATATAAAATTGAGCTTTTCAAAAAATCAAGCCCACTATATCAAATCACCTTAACAAAACAAATCACCTTTTGTAGTGGAAAAAATAACACATACAAATCACCTTTCTTGTTATTACTACCTTTTTTGGTAGTGGTAAGATTAACGATACCTAAACATCACAAACACATCAAAGTAGTTGAGAGGCCAACAATGAAGGCAAAGTCTAACAAACTCAA